TGTAACGCTAACTTTAAGATATTAGTGTGTAAATTTATTTTATCTACGTGGCTAGCTAAACTCAGATGCTAACTAAAGATTGACAGTAACATAAATCTTAGCTTGTAAAACTGCTCATCCATCCAGTCAGCTGCTTAAACAGTTCACCTAATGTTCACTGTTTATGTTAATGTTCTCCTCACAGGAGCCTCTGACCCTGATGTGAGGACAAAAGAAAAGCAAGGTGGGGGCCATAGGACAGTCAAACTTTGTTGTTAAAAGTTTGCTGCTTTTCCTACAGTGGAGCTGCACAGTGGAGGTAAGTTAAGCTGTAAAGGATTTTGTTGACCAGTTAAACTTTTATCTCTCAGCCTAGATAATGTTTTTTGAGCAATAATAACACAACCATGTTATTGTTTATGTTTTGTTCTCATGTCAATTAGGGAGATGATCAGAGCCCTAAACCCCAGAGAACCACAGAGAAGATTCAGGCAGAGACAAAGAGGTGCAGATGTCTGCATCGTCCCTACCTCATTGAATCCAGTGACCTGCTGGTGGAATGTGAGGGACAATATGTCAGTGCTATAAAACTGACAAACAGGTCTCTGTGTGTGCAACATTCATCATCTACAGTCTCAGAGTGAACATTTTCTACTGCTGGAGACACCATCACCCAGGAGCAGGCTTGTATGTGTCCAGAGAAAACAGACATGTTGATTTTTCTGAAGAAAAACTGCTAAGTGAAAAGGTCCTCGGTGTGTAGCAGTGAGCATTAGACACTGACGTGTCACTGGTTTGTAACTGGTCTTTTGATCTGGAAATTATTTGTTTGTTTTTATGTAAGAAAACTGCTTGGAATAGAAAAATACCAAAGTTAAAAAATAAAAACTCACAATTTGTATTGTAATGTGTAACGTAATTTTATTCTTGTTAGAATTAATAGTAATTACAAAATTGGCACCGAAAAAAGAACCGTCCAGGAATCAACACTGAAGTGAAGGTACCGATATGGATACAGATTTTTTTTTAGAAAGGTACCCAGCCCTAGTGATGGTTCAGTGAGGTAGAGAAGTGAGTTTAGGGTAGAGAAGAGGACACACTGGTTTTGAGAGTTGGCTATAATTATATCAGAGAAGTATTTAGATTTAGTAGCTTTTACTGCTTTCTGATAGCGACGCCAACTCTCTTATTATTTGGAAAGAGACCTGCAGATAGTCCTTCTTCCATCTATGCTCATCCCTCCTGCACTTTTGTCCAACGGTCTTGGTGGCGTCATTCAGCCAAGGTTCTGATCCGAGTTTCATTTTTCTGTTTATTATAGGAGCAACATGATCCAGAGTCTTTAAGCAGACAGAGTTGAACTGGGAGGTTAGCTCATCAGAGGTGGTGGGAAACACTGCGTGTGCAGGAGCGTACAGCTTAGGAGTTAGACTGGGGGAGGTGAACTCAAACAGGACTGACATGTGGTCTGACAACACATTATCACCGATTTCAAAATTACTGTCACATCACGTGTTAAAACAAGGTCCAGTGTGTGTCCGCACTCCTGGGTCGGACCATTTACCTGCTGAATTAGATTAAATGAGTCCAATAAATCTCTAAGTGGCTTAAGAATCTGTTGGACTCCTGGCAGGGACCAATGCAGACATGTTCCTGTTTTTGTCTTCTACATTCGCCTTAGAATCTAACCTTAGAATCTCGCCTTAGAATCTAGCTGTTTTTTTGTTACCTTATTTCTTTTAGCCATCCTATTTGTAAAAAAAATAAAAATAAAAATAAAAATAATAAAAAAACTCCAGTATGACTTTTTATAACTGTTTATTGTTGTCATTGTTATTATTATTGTTGTCGCTGTTGTCCATTGTTGTCATCATTCTTTGTTGAAATCAGGTCTCTCTTGTAAATGAGTCCTCGGGGCTCAATGGCATTTACCTGTCTAAATAAAGGTTGAATGAAAAAAAAAAATCTAAAAAGTCTTTAACCAAGGGCTTCTCCTTACAACAAACATGAATATTACAGTCCCCAATAATTAAATCATGATCATATTTTGGTGATTTCAGCCAAGAACTCAGAAAATTCATTTATGATATCATTGGATCTCGGGGTCAGTAGAGCAAGTGCGCACAGAGTCGAAGGTGAATGGCCAAGTTCAAAGACGCTCAGCTCAAAGCTGGAGCAGGAAACCGGGATGGGCAGTTGTTTATAGTCAAAGCTTGATTTAAATATTGTTAATAATCCACCATCACACCAGCCTGATGGCCGCGGTGCATTAAAATACATACAGTACAGGGGTAATAATTCCGTCAAGGCGCTAGACTCACCCGGAGACATCCAAGATTTCGTGATGCAGAGAAAGTCCAAATGGTACTCTTGAAAGTAGTCCCTGAGGATAAAAGTTTTGTTTTTAACGGATCTTGTGTTGACCACACACATCCTGATACAGTCTCAAGTGGACCCAGCAGCGGTGTAGGGAGCGCGCGCCAGCGACCACAGATTTTGAACATCAGCACCTACAGGTTGGGTTGTGCGCCCTGCCGGTAGACTACTCTTGTTGTTTACATGGTCAGGGCGCGCGGGTAGCTGGCCAACAGCAGGGTCCCAGACGCACCACGGGTCCGGGAGGCAAGGATCAGGTCCAGATCCAGAACAAGCCCCAGCATCTTTGGCAGAATAATCCACACGGTGCCTCATTTTCACCAAAACTCCAGCGCGCTTTCCCCAACGTCTGCGGCATCTCCTCCGGGGAGATGGGTCAGGGTCATGAAGTAGGAAGGAAGGTATACCGGACAGGACCGAAGGGACAGAGTCCCAACTGCTGTGGAGAAGGTCTGCAGGCAATTCTGCAAATCTACGTAGCTCCAAAAGTGCCCAACTATCATATTGCAGATATACGTCGACACACTGCATAACACACTGTACAACTAATAAAAACAAAACCAAAGCACAGAGTGATGTATGGCAAATCCTACACACTGGCACCATCTTGATTCATCTTCTTCTTCTAACTAAGATCAACTATAAAGTTAAATTATAGCTCACATCATTTGAGCGTGTGTGAGGATTATAAAATAATTAATAATGAGTCAAAGAGCAGCTCAATAGGTCAGAAAAACACAGTCTCTTAGTGGAGCAATCTAAAACTTGATAATGTATTAAGTTACCAAAGAAATATTCAGAGTCTCACAGTCATTGTGAGATTATCTATGGCTGTTTAAATCTGTCTGATGGAAAGATAAGGAATGTCTCAGGTACTCAGTTGAAAGAGATGACCGCTAATGAATTGTGCCAAGGACTGATTGGATCGGATGGGAAATGGGAGGGACTTCAGAGAGTCTGTAAGGTGTTTGATTGGATAGAAATTGAAAACAGGATGTGTCACAGGGTGGAGGAACCAAGTTCATAAAGGTGGAAAGAGATCTGAAACAGGTCAGAATTGTACGGGGGCCCCTTAATGTGAGGTAATTACATACAATTCTATCCTGATACATGCTCAATAATCCAGGTAGAAAAATCCAAAAAAGTTCGATGAACTTTTTTGGATATATACAATTCTCTCTTGTTCATACATTTTGAAGTCTGTAAAAATAAAGATGTTGTTAACTTTTACATAAATGTGTGTTCCTTCCGAGCAAAAACCCAGGCAGGATGGAGGGGGAAGGATTATGTTTTCCCCAACACATGGCAGAAGTAAGAGAGTATAGCACAGCAACAGTAAGACAGTCATACAAGGAGCCGTATGACAATCCAACCAGGAGCCATACGACAGTTTTACCAGGAGATGTGTGACAGTTTTACCAGGAGTTGTAAGACAGTTTTACCAGGAGACGTTCAACAGAAGGAATACACGATATATACGGTACATGGTAGAAACGATAGACATTTAGCCTACAATAGAGATCTATCTTCTACCAGCTAACTGCAGTAATGCTGTGTCTGATGTAAAATCAGAGTTGTCAGATTAAATTGTTACTTTTATTAGTTGAAAACTGTGCGTAAGGGGTGGTAAAGTATTTTCTTCGAGAGCTAAGTAGCAAAGCTACAAGCTAACTACGACCGGCTTGCCGTAGTGTTGCCGTATTTGAACGCATGCGCAAAACGTTGTGTTCCATCGAAAGCTTTTTTTGGTTTTTTTTCCCCCACAGTCGAAAGTTAAAGTAAGCGTGTGTCAGCTTTAGAGAAACCTGCTCTCTGATCTATGAAAAGAATGCTGTGTTGTGTGATTTTACTGCGAGACCCTCTGGTCAAAGCCACAGAGGAAGCTGGTCACCAATTTTTGTAAGCTCTCCATTAAAGCGGAAGGAGATGCCCACTAGAGGGTTGGAGGGTTAAGTGTTTTCAGCATGCACTTGCTGCTCTGTTGCTGTTCATTTCTTAAGTGAGAATATTGGAAAGTGTTAAGCGTTAACAACATATTCTTTTCTAAAAAAAAGTTAAATCTGGTCCTCTGGACATTCAAAAAAACAAAACAAAGCAAAACAACAACAAAAAAATGTAGAAACGTTTCGTCTTTCATCCGAAAGACTTCCTCAGTCTGAGGTGCTGTATTCAGCTCAGTCTTATAAATAGCACCTTCTCAGAGTGGATCAACCAGTTTTGCTGCTGACAACCAAAACCAGCTGCTCAAATGATCAAGAAGGACCATAGGCCTAACAATGGATCATTAGGACACTGATGGCTGTTTACTATTCACAGATGGCTGAGTGATACTAGCAATAACAGCATTGTAAGAGGGGGACAATCAAAAACGTACACTCTTAACCCTGATATCAATTGTATTTACACTTTTTAGTAATCATTAATTATTATTTTATGTTTTGTAAAAATGTTGTCTCATTACTAAATCAAATAAGTTGACTGTACTTTTTTACTAAAATATAGAGTGTAATGATCTTGTTAAGCAGAGATTACTAAAAATGTTTTGATTTTGAAATGAAGGGGCGGGGTCTATTCAAACTCTGCCCTGCTGCACATGTTCGGGCAAGTTCCACCACAGTGTCGCTACTACTGTCGGACTTTGAGGCAAAGTGGATTGGTAAGTAACAAATATTTTAGATATTTGTAGACATTTCTCTACGTAAAAGATAGCTGTGCTCCACGTGCAGATGTAACTTAACATTACAGTAACAGCCGACCGTTATCGTAATTTTGGTAAAGTTGAGGGTTTTGGAGTGGTGAGCGCGAATGCTCAATGAATAGTGTGCTAGGATTTAGCTTAGGGGTAGCATGCTAACTTTCTCAGTTCACAGTTTATTACGGAAAGTTGCTTTAGGAGAGATGTAGGCTGCTGAAAGCAACCTTTACTGCACAAGTTCATACCGAGTGAATCCTGTCTGTGGTATATTTTTATCTTTAATGCGCTCCAGTTGTATCAAGTCAGCTAATTTGTATAGTTAGATTAGCTTAACTTCACGTTGCAGCACGTGCTTGTGTTAGCTAGTTCACGTTCTATACGATTACGGTCTGACTGAAAATGTAATGGACTTGGTCATTAGCTGGTTTTTAGTAGAGATTAGTTGAGCAATATGTGACAATTGTGTGTGTGGAAAATAGTGCAGCAGTTAACAAATAATTTGGAGCCACGTTGAAATCCTGAAGGAGTAAAGAGCTATGGTTGTTGCCAGCTCCCCCCGATCACCAGACTATTAAAATAAAGTGACAATAACAAGTTATTAACTCTGTCAATTGTCTGCAGATAAAAAGGCAAGCCCAACTCATTCTGCATTAATTTTAACTCTAAATAGTGTTAAACAAGAAAACTAATTATTCTGGCTGAGAACAGAAATTTCAAAGGGCGAGAATATTTCAAAGTACCATATTTCCTTGATCTTTGATGACATATGGTCATGGATAAGTGTGCTAAAAGTTTTCTTTTTTTACAGGTTTGTGTGAAGATGCAGTGGAGGTGCAAATACTGTGAGTTTATAACAGAGAAAAGGGGTTACCTGTTAAAATATTACAGGTTAAAACATGGAAGCTTCACCAGAAATATTACCTTTTCTTGCTTACATCAACAGTGTTTATGCACATTTAAGTCCATCAGTGCACTTAAGGTCCACTTATCTAAGATTCACCAGAAAGAGAAAGATGTGTGTGAAACACTTCACCAGACTTTTCACTGTCAGTCCTGTGATTTTTCTGCAGCCTGTACAGAAGCAGTTTTTTTCTATCACCTGCGCAGTACACATTTAAAAGTTAATCACAGAGTCCAATGTCCATATAAAGGATGTAACTTTCATACTACTGTGTACTCTACATTCAATGCACACAGAAGTAAACAGCACAGAACAGACAATTGGAGGATGCTCAAACCAGAAATAGTGCCTGGTAGTGAAAATAATGAACTGGAAGAAGAGGGACATGGGCCCCCAAACTACACCGCTGATTTAGAAAACGGTGAAGAGTCCAGTAATGAAGAGAATAATGATCTGGAGAAACAATTGGAGCACAACCTAGCAGCTCTTTTTTTAAAGATGCAAACCATTCTCCACATACCAGAAAGTTCTGTAGAAGATGTAATACAACAACTTTTACACATAAGTGAACTGTCCCAACCACTGCTGCACAATTCAGTCAGGGACCTGTTGAAACAACACACAGATGTGGATGATTCAACTGTGAAACATGTAGTCAGGGCTGCCTTAGAGAGCAATGTCATAACAAAATTTTGTGGCAAGGGTAGTTCCTTATCAACTTCTAAAAGGAGAGCAGCATATGTGAACAAAAACTTTGCTGTAGTAATTCCAGTTGAGTACATTATAGACAGAGACAAGAAGTCCAGTGCTGTATATGTTCCTATAAATGTCATGTTGCAGAAAATGTTGAACAGGGCAGAAATTTTAGAGAAAGCTCTTCCAGTACAAAAGGATGTGCCACATGAGTATAGTACATACAGAGATGGTTTGTACTGTAAAGAAAATGACCTCCTTAAAGGTGAGAAATTCAGAATCACTGTTGGACTTTACACAGATGATTTTGAAGTGTCCAATCCATTAGGTACATCTAAGAGGAAACACAAAATGATTGCAGTGTATTGGGTGCTCGCCAATGTGCCATCAAAATATAGGTCCACACTCCAGTCCATTCAGCTCGCTCTTTTATGTAAAGCCTCACATGTAAAAGAATATGGCTATGCTAAAATTCTTCATCCCCTAATCCAAGATCTGGTTTCTTTCGAACAAGATGGCCTGTATGTTGAGAGGTTGGGAGCACGTGTCAAAGGCACAGTGTTGTATGTGTCTGCTGATAACTTGGCAGCTCATTCATTTGCAGGATTCTTTGAGAGCTTTGGAGTGGACAAGTTCTGCAGGTTCTGCATGGCAAGGAGGAGTGAGATTCAAGACAAGGAAGTAAGCTCAGGCACTTTTGAACCCCCGACTGCAGACACTCACAACCAACAGGTCCAGGAGGTACAGCAGGATCCCACTTTGGCTAAACAGTATGGTGTGAAGGGACGATGTGTACTTACTGACAGTCTGGAGCACTTTCATGTTATTCGTGGCTATCCCCCTGACATCCTGCACAACCTTTTTGAAGGTGTTGTTCCTGTTGAGTTATCACTCTGCATTTCAGACCTGATTTCTAAGAAATATTTCACATTAGAAACATTGAACCATGCTATCAAATCTTTTGCATATGCTTTTCATGACAAAACTGACCAGCCTCAGCCTATTGCCCGAGGCTTTTCTACCAAAGGAACCATAGGTGGAAATGGCCATGAGAACTGGGCTCTAATCAGGTTGCTCCCACTTCTCATTGGACATAAAGTGCCTGAAGGGGACAATGCCTGGGCCATTCTGGTGCTCCTTAAAGATATTGTTGAGTTGGCTGTAGCAACAAGGCACACTGAAGAGTCTATACATTTCTTTGAATGTAAAGTGTCAGAACACAGAGAACTGTTGCAAACTACATTCCCCAATTTCAAATTACGCCCAAAACACCACTTTATTGAGCATTATCCTGAGATGATTAAAGCATTTGGTCCACTCTCAGATGTCTGGACAATGCGTTTTGAGGGAAAACACAAATTCTTCAAACGAGTCATTCGTAATGCTCACAACTTCAGAAATGTGGCTCTTACACTGGCCGTAAAGCATCAGAAAATTATGGCTTACTGTTTGGACACAAATTCATTTTTCAAGCCCTCAGTTGAACTCAACAAGGTTACAACAGCGCTGATCCTATCTTACACTGAAAATGTCCAACAAGTTTTCTGCAAGAGAGTACCCCAGTGTACAACTGTTCTTGTTGCATCATCGGTCTCTGTAGATGGAATTAGATATTGTGCTGACATGATACTGTCTGTTGGTTCATGCTCAGGCCTCCCAAAATTCAAACAAATCAAGCAGATTGTGGCAATAAACACAGAGATCTTATTTGTCTGCAATACTATGACTGCATGGTACCATGAACATTTAAGATCGTTTGAACTCTGTGGTAGCGCAAATCCCTCTTTGTGTGTGGTGCAACTAAAAGAGCTGAATGATGTTTTCCCTCTTTCAGCATACAGATTTAGGGACAATTTAGTAGTGACACTCACTCGCTATATTCTGTGTTGAGAAACCACAAGTGTGGTCAGTCGTAACAACATGGCTCCGTATGAAGTATAACTGTAAGCTTGAGTAGTAATTTTGGATTTTTTTTACATTTTATACTATTTTATTTATATTTTGATAGATGAGCGTTAGGTCAAACTGAATGTGTTTGTGTGCATATTTCTAATGAGCTAAAAATGTTTTTTTTTATTTATTATTATTTTCAAGATGGCAGCACACCAAAAGATGACCTTGAGGGTAATTGTCACAGAGACGGACATAAGAAAAGTGGTTCTGAATACGAGGCCTACTACAGTGGAGGATTTGGTAACTAAGCTTAAAGAACCACTGGGACTTGATTTCAACTTCATTCTCCAGTACCAAGATCCTGAGTTCAATTATGAGCTATGCAATGTGACAGATATTGAAGATCTTCCAGAAAAAAACAACAGTCAAGGTCATCCTTATACTTGAGTTGGTTCCAGTCTCAATATCAGATGAAATCTTGAGTGACACACCTAGTGTAGCAGATACAGAGATCCTCTCTACATCGTCTCAGGAGCGACAGAAGCAGTGGCCAGAATTTTTTGACATCCCAAATTTTTCTGTTGATGTAGCATATAGACTTAGGCAAGCAGATCTGCTGTTTCTTCGTGATGGTACACACCTCAAAGTATCAAAAGAGCTGAAACACGAGATCCTTGAAAGATTGGCAGAGAGCATGTATAGCTACACAGCATATCCAAATAATACTCAGTTCGAAAGTGTTGCACAAGCACTCATAAGCAAGCACCCCTGTCTCCAGGAGCGAGGCTCAACCAGTCGCTGTAGTGGCTGGAAAAATAGTCTAAAATTTAAAATGGCTAATTACAGAACAAAGCGCAGAAGATCAGGGTGCCTTGACGTAGCAGTAAATGCTGGTAAACGAGGAGGGCATTCAACCAAAGGAGAACCAGCTAACAAGAACATCAAGAAGGCCAAGAAAGGCGAGCTCAACTACTTACCCAACTTTCCGGAGGGATTTAATCAGGTAGCCCTTGAGGACGCCCGCAAAGACTTGGTTGATGAAATGCAGAAGAGAACACCAGATGGACAACTTGTGAAAGAGAAGATGGACCTGACGTTTGCATTGAGAAGAAAAGAGGTGGTGGAGTCAGAACCTGCTATATGTGACATGGTGGAACGTTGGCCTGCTCTTTTCACAGAAGATCAAGTAAGTTCATGATTAAGATAATGATAAAGCCAAAAAAAGGTTAAAAACAAAACAACTGGACTTTATTTGTAACTGAAGACATTTTGCTTCTCATCCTTTCTCAATTTCTCAAGCTTTCTCAATTCAAAGAAACAAGTGTGGGATTGAAGTTATAAAGCTGTGGTGTTTTGTAAGCTTGCATAATAATGATAACATTTTTTCACGTGTCTGTCTTTCCAATAGGAAGCTGCCATTATAGGACCCAAATATATTTGTTACCCATCCAGACTGTCAGCACAAACTGTAATTTTACCTTGTAGGATATGAGAGTTGCTGTCTACAACTACCTCTATCTGTTAGGTAAGGGAAATTGTATTGTGAGCAGGTCATTATTGCAAAATTAACCCCAACATCCTGATGCAGGACTCAGATTTCAGATTATCCTGAAGGGGTGTATTATGCAGTAATGCCCTGCTCACTGTGCACTATCCTGCTTATTAAAAGGTTACTTGCCAACAAAAATCCATAATTTGACACAAAATATTAATAGTCTTCTATAACAATGGTCTGCTACACAGAAGTAACAGATGTTAGAATGCTGAAATTTACAAATCATAATTGAATAACAAAGCTATTTAATAATATATATTGTTGTGGAAGCCATCAGTGCTTAAAGTGTCCATTTAGATTCACAGAGGTCACACAACCACAAACAAGCAAAGCAATAGACAAGCAACTCCTGTGTTGTGTGCAGTACATAGACTTTTTGTCCAAAAAAAAGGTTTGACTAGAAAAATCTTGTTTTTTTAGGGGGCTTTGCGTTTTGCTTCTGACCCATGTCTACACCTGTGCTTTTTTTTTTTGCTGCCCTCACACTGGTGCTTTCAGCTAAGTTGTTGAGATGTGATACTGGAACATTCTCTGTATTTTGCAGGTATGCATGGAGTTCAACAGGATTGTTGGCAAGAATCTCAAGCAGGAATTCTATGAGAGCATCGATCGACATAGTCCTCGTCTTGTCGAGATTTTTCGATCCAAGAGAAATGTTAGATTTTAAATCAAAGGTTGGAAAAACAAGGCTGCGAGTTTCTGAACTTCACTAAAACTTTCAGAGAACTTCAGTACAGCCTGCTAGCTCTTCTCAATGTTGTAACAGTACGTTAATTAACCATGATGCTTGTGTTCTTAAATTTTAGGGAATGCCTTCAAAAGTCCTTGATATTGATGTTTATGAAGCTGTGGGAACTTCACACTGTGTAATGCAATCATTTGCTCATTTGTGTTTGTCATTTTACTGCCCAACAGACTGCAGAGTCAACTGATATTCGAACACTGGTGCTCAGAGGACTTCCTGTTATTCTTGATGACAACCCCACAGACTTCTACAAACCAGCCTTTGTAAGTAATTTTATTTTCTCAAAAATTACCTAAAGGAACATTGACAGCTCAATTTTGAATTTTCTCTTATACGTGGTTCTCATGGGTCTTTGAAATTCTTGAAGGTTTGCGAGTTTCTGGAAAAATCAGTGCAAGGAAAGTTTATGAAAATACACAGACAAATGGATCATTGGACGTACTTGAATTTATTTTTGTGCAATAATTAATATTTACTTTGCAATAATGTTTTGCAGGGGTGTTGTATGAGCTATTTATCCAAAGTCAGTGTATTACTTGCAGTAAGTGGCAGTCGACGCGACCTCAGTTTGGAGAAGCAGTAGGGGTACCAGTGTAGGAAACTAAGCAACGTACTGCTGTGGACAGTGTCTGCAGAAACATTGTTTTAGCCACTTAAAAAAAATCAATATCAGTGAAGTGTACATTATACTATTATTATATTATATATATATATTACATATTAATATAGAATATTTTCACTGTCAGTATTTTCACCTTACTGTCAGTCAGACTTCTTACATAAAATAACTGTTGTATACGTTATATAAATATTGCTCCTGCCCAACCAAACTCCATAGGCATAGTTAGTCATTTTACTTTGCTGAATACAGGAGCTGCTCTTCTACTGCTGCCTCGATCTGTTTGATTGGGTTATTTTTACTGAATTCACTGAAATCCCACAATAGCACAAACTAACAGTGACATGGTAGACCAGTAACTCTTGTGTTCTGTGAGGTAAATTTATTAATCTTGTCTATGGCATTTGGTTGGTGTGAAGAGAGCTCTGTAACTTACATTTCAAGTCAGAAAAGTCATGTTAGACAGCAATGTAAGGTGCTGAAAATATACTAAATATGCGTCCACTGAAACAAATAGATTTTTCGAGGTGTCGAAAATTACAAACTGCTGCTGACCATGTCCACAAAAGTACACTGCTTATCTTCTTACACTGATCGTCCTGCTGCTTCTCCAAACTGGGGAAATGCTGCCCACCATCTACTGTAGGTAACATGCTGACCATCTGTAAGCACCTCAGGCAACCCCACTTTAAAAAAATCCAAACTATCCCTTTAATTTTAATTTATGTCTTAAGCTATGCTGTGTTGAGTTCATGTCATAAACTCTTATGCTTATGTTTTATGCTATGCTGTTTCATGAGGGAGTGGTGGAGCAGAGTTTAGAGAATATGGGCCAGTGATCAGAAAGTCACCGGTTCAACCTCCAGGACTAACAATGTCAAAATGTGGGTGGAAAAGGTGAAACATCCACACCTGCCTCAACCTTCATTTGCCCCACTCTGGGCCCTTGAGCAAGGCCCTTAACCCCACTATTTGCTCCCTAAACAGGTCTCTTGAAATTAGTTCTTGTGACTCAATGAGACTATCTGTAGAAATAAAGGGTAAATAAAAATGTTGGAATTTGAGCCGAGACAGATGTGGGAACCCTGATGACAGTTCCTGTATTTGAAAAAAAAACCTGTGAGCATAGTTTTAAACAATTGAAAGAATACTGTATCGTTCCAGTTACCACTAGCACATGATCATGTGTCCTTTTGTGGAGCTCAAACTAATACACAATTTACACAAGGAAACTAGGGCTGTATGTTGTGATAAAACAGAAGATATGACAAATATTGTAATTGGTTTATGGAAATCATTATTTTGATCAATTATTGATGGTTGTTTAATGATAATTGTCTCTGTTGTGCTCATGTCATTTATTAAGGACTCTGATGATGATGAATCGTTCCGCAACATTGATATTGGGATTCTCCTCGTTGAACCTGAAGGTACTGTGCCCTCATACTTCTTGCATCTCAGTCCAGCCTCTCTGAAAATCATCATGGAGGGAGAAGTGGTGATGGCCAACATTCAAGACCTGCCAAAAGCTATGTGCATTCTCTTTAGACTTGCATATGCTATGCATTTCAACTACCCCAGTTCTATGAAGTCCACATTCCAGTTCATCCAACAGATATTTTTTGAGCTGGGCCAAAGTGAACTAAAACCAAAGTTACAAACATTGAAAAACCAGTTTGTGATGTAAAGAAATGTCTATTGTATTGTGTCATTGAACAGTTGGGATTGAATATAGTCTCAGTAGCCACTTTCTTACCTACATAATCTAATGCAGTTCAATGCAACAGCTCTACAACAACTGTTAGCTGATAATGTTCAGTTTACAATGTTATAAGATACATGAATGTCCAACCACTTATGTTCTTCAGTACAGGATTGAGAAGTGTATGCTCAGGATTGGATAGCTAAATCTCAGTTTATATAATACAGTTTGAGGAAAATTCAGCACATTTCATGTAAATGTCCAGTCAGTGTTGATGGTAAAAATAGTCAGTTGAAGCAGTAAGTTGAAACGTGTGTGCTCGATTGACCAAAAAAGATTTCCTGCTCACAGAGCTATGCAGTAGTATCTACCACACTCCTCGTCTGCACAGAGGAGAACACGAGAATTTTAAGGTGAAATAACATGTAGTTCTTCCTTAACGGCAACATCACAAAATATTTTGCTTCATAAGTTTTCAGGAATTTATTGCTTCAGTTGACTGAATTTACCAACAACACGGACTGTACATTCACATAAAACATGCTAAATACCTTCAGGAGGATTAATCCGCACAAGGCAACTGGCCCAGACAACATCCCCGGAAAAGTGTTGAAGGAATGTGCTGATCAGCTCTGTGAGGTGCTGGCAGACATCTTTAACACCTCACTTACCCTGGAGACAGTTCCCACCTGCCTGAAGACTGCCACCATCATCCCAGTCCCAAAAAGCTCTACAGTGACTGGTCTGAATGACTATCGGCCAGTGGCCCTCACCCCGATAGTCGCTAAATGCTTCGAAAAACTGATCATGACTCACATCAAAACAACCATCAACATCAACGAGGACCCTCATCAGTACGCATACCGTGAGAACCGATCAACAGAGGATGCAATCTCCTCTGTGGTCCACACTGCACTCAACCACCTGGAGCAGAAAAACTCTTACGTCCGTATGCTCTTTGTGGACTTCACATCCGCCTTCAACACCATGATCCCCCAAACCCTGATGGACAAACTATTCACACTAGGACTAAGCCCCTCCATCTGCAACTGGGTACTAGACTTTTTAACAAACAGACCACAGTTAGTGAGGATCCACAACCTCTCCTCCTCCACCATAACCCTCAGCACTGGCTCTCCTCAGGGATGTGTGTTGAGCCCCCTCCTGTTTACTCTGCTCACATATGATTGTGCAGCTACCCATCCAGGCTGTCACATTGTAAAGTTTGCAGATGATACAGCGCTGGTGGGATGCATCACAAACAATGATGAGTCCAGCTACAGGCAGGAGGTGGAACACCTGGAGAGCTGGTGCAGAGAGAATAACCTTCACATCAATGTGAAGAAGACAAAGGAGATGATTGTGGACTTCAGAAGGAACAAAAACACCTACACCCCCCTGAACATAAGAGGATCTGCGGTGGAAGTCGTCTCCAGCTACAAGTACTTGGGTGTACACATGAATGACAACCTCAGCTGGAGCAACAACACCACCAGCCTGATCAAGAAAGCTCATCAGAGACTCTACTTCCTCAGACGGCTGAGGCGAGCTGGTCTGGGAAGCTCAGTCCTCACCTCCTTCTACAGGTGTGCAGTGGAGAGCATCCTGTGCTCCAGCATCAACGTGTGGCATGGAGGCTGCACAGCTGCAGAAAGAAAAGCTTTGCAGAGAGTGGTGAAGGCTGCACAGAAATCTGTTGGAGTCAGTCTCCCCACCATCACAGACATCTACACCTCCAGATGCAGGAAGAGGGCCACCTGCATCATGAAGGACCCCACCCACCCAGCACACACACTTTTTGCCCCACTCCCCTCAGGAAGGAGGTTAAGGAGCATTAAGTGTAGAACCACTAGACTGAGGAACAGCTTCTACCCTGAGGCTGTTAGACTCATGAATCTCTAACTAGAATAATCACTGTGAAAAACCATATCATGTTGCTGCTGATCTGTTTCATGTTGCTGCTGATCTGTTTCAATGTTGATGTGTTCATGCGTGCACATCTGCTCACAGACTCATGTTCATGTTTGTGCTGATGTTCAATGTTTTATGTTATGAGTGCTTAGTGTATATTTAGTTGATGTTTTTCTTAGTTCATATCTTAGATGTTATTACTGTTTTTCTTATACATTTTATTGTTGGATGTAACTGGGACCCTGTGTACATAATTTCGCTCCACCACATGTACCACATGAGGTGCGAATGACAATAAAGAAACTCTGACTCTGACTCTGACTAAATCTTACCTTTATCACATTTTATCTGCTCCTTTTCAAGTTGAAGATTTAGAAGACTGTCTAATTTTACTGTGTCCAGTTTTTCACAAGGATACACAAGTTATTGAATGCTGCTGTTTTTGTATTCCTTATTTAAACAATTTATAATTATGTCAAGCACTTTTATTTCCTACTTTTACTTGACTTTTGGATGACAAGCTGTTTTTTTAATAGCAATTATTGTTTTAATACTTTTTTTACTTGAGCCAAGCTTGATGATAAATTGCACTTAAAATGTTCTTTTGCAGCAATTTTCTGTGAAAATTAAATATATTGGAA